GCATCGAAGCAGAATACCTTTATGATGCTTTGACGTACCGGTGATATTTTTGAAGAACTTTATTTTACCTACATTATGTTTTTCTGTTGCATAACACTTTAAAGACATTTACCAAACTATAATTATATTTAATCCCCCTGCATTTATTTTAATCTACCAGAACATCACTAAAAATCCAGCGTATGGCAGCAGTCTCCCGGTCCGATGAGTGGGCCGCCCCGCGGGCGCGCCTGGCCGGGACGCAGTGACAGTGGTTGGACGCGGAGATCCATTAGTGGGAGCACTCCCCGGCCTGTGTCAGACAAACTGGCCGGCTCTCACAGCGCACACAGCGGCCAGCCCCAACCGGGCCGTCCAATCGAACCGACACGACCGGGCCGCGCGCCCCACCGCGCCTATTTCCAGCACTTGACATTCATTGATAAACATGGTCGTACTGTAGACCATTTTAATCCAATTACATTAGCGGAATAAAGTTAAAGTCAATATTTTACGGATAACTGCCATGTTTTCTGCAGACTATAGATCAGGTTTGCCATTACATCCATGCGTTGTTATTCGCCAAAACCACATTTGTCTCGGAGTACACTGAACGCCAGTATGGTTTATAAGTACTTCACGGTCGTAGAAAACTTGCATATGTACCGACTGAAGCTGAAAGACATTTGTAATTATTAGTTATCTAGTGAGCGATGGCCATGCATACTTGGTACTGGATACCTACAACTGTCTTTGCCTGAAACCTCTTCGGCATGGGGAATTAATGCAACCCTGCCCCAATTTTTTACGGATATCTATCCCGTCCGGCCCAAATTTGGTAAGGCTTCACGTTCATCCTTTATCTCATAATATTGAAATGTTACATCCTGTATCAAAATGCTACTTTGGTCATACCATCCCGTCAGGTCAAGTCGCTGAGCTATGACATCATATACCAGGTCATGTTTACCCGAAATGAATGGCTTCGTGATATGAGGGAGATTTCCTGCTTTTAAGCCGATTTCGTCATTGACCTGACTTTGGGGTCAACTTTAGGGCCTGGGTCAGATCCTGAAGTCTGACAACCTGACAATGGTGCCTGACTAGGACCTGGGTGGCCTCAGGTCCTAAAATTAGGCACCAGTGGTTTCACATTTTGTGAAAGGCAGTGCGCTCATTTTTTTCGCGTAACTTCAGCTCAATTTAGGGACTATAATGCGAAGAGGCCCGCAGCCCTCTCCCCCTCCCACTTTTTGCAATCGAAGAATGCTGAATGACCAATGCCGGCGAGTGTTAAATATTTACTTTGCTCGACCTTGTCACTAAATTAGCGCTGAACGTGTCAGCAGCTTATGTAAGCTATCCTGAGTTGTATCAGTTATGGATAAACGCTTTATTTCCTCGTAGCTGCAATCAGACGGCTCAGTCGGTACCGGCGTATTTATTGTTGAGGGAGCGGATGCTTTGCCTTCCAAGGATCATAGATATACCTATATAAGCAACATAGCCAGATGCTGTTTATGAAACCCCACATTCTGAGCCATACATTAGTGCGTCTCCTTGTTTTCATGGTTGAGACAAATAGAAGAAACAATCTTTGATCGGGCCGGAAATGTTAACGCTTGCGCAACTAGCATCAACTTGTCAAGTCTCAGACCACTGTTATTTACGTATCCAATTACTGAGGGCCAGATCCAATCATCTGAGCTGATTGGCTGATCTGCATACCGGTATATTGCTTATCGATACCTTACTTTGACTGAAGCGCTGTGAAAATGTGGTTGTTTGTTGACGCAGTGTACTGAGTGTGAGAGTGAGACTGGCTGACGCGGTACTGACACTGTACTGACGCTATACTGACGCCGCACTGACGCCGTAAAGACGCCGTAAAGACGCTGTACTGACGCTGTCCGGCATCCCCAGGAGTGGGCCACCCGTCTCCGGTCCCCGGTGCGCGTCCGGGAGGGAATGGAGCCGGTCACCGCGCCGGACCACGACAGGCGGTTCGGCGACTGCGAGTGTCACCGAAGCCGACCCCGGGACGAGCTGTGACCTGACCGGTCATTGGCCGACAGCCGGTGGAAGGTCCGCTCTGAGGGGCCCCGGAACTGGCCTCTCTACACACCTCAGTCATCAGTCATCGCCGATCTGGTCAATAAGCGCCGAGCGCGGGCTCTCGTCAGTCATCAGCCTGCGTGCTGATGTCACCTCCGCAGAACTGTCATCAGCAATGGCGAGCTCGTCACCCGCCGTGCACCTCCGGTGACCGTCCGGTGGCTGGCCATGAACCGGTTGAAACACAGCCCTGGTTTACTCTGGTGACTGCTCCAGACTAAATCAGACGGGTGCGATGTGAGCCAGATGCGCGTGCTATGTCGGGGCCGCCACGGGGGCTGGTCGGACCGGCCGCACAGGGGCGCTCATGGGGTGTCTTCGATAGGTGTCTGTCTGTCGTGGCAGACCAGCGGTGGTTTACCGGAGTGGTTAGGGAGGGACTAGGAAGTCACCTGCGTGCAGGAGGCGCATGTCCGCATAATCTAGGGTGAGCTGTTATTGCGATCGAAGTCTGGTGCAAAGAAGATCAGTGTTGAGACAATGTAGAATGCTGTAGAACCCGTAATCGGATCGATGTCACTCAACAATATCCTGTGCAGCGTGGAATTGGATTGCAAAAAAGGCCTTCCAGGGCTGGCGGCGGATGTTTTGAAAAATGGACCGTTTGCGAATGTGCAGATTCAGATTGTTAGCGCTGAAGAACTATGTTGTTACAGCGTAAACAGGACTTGTGCTGACTCTCGTGGTTGGCAGTAGTGATGCTTTTTTCGTGTCAGGGAGATTGCGAGCTCTGCACTTTGCTCATCAGTTAGATTTCACTGTTCAAGGAGTACCTTAGCGTTCTAACTCGGTGGGCTGTAACGATGACCAGGTCACGACAGGGCAGTATTAAGTGGTCCAAACATTAATACTCAGTACTCACTTGTGCTTCGTAGGCTGAATCATCTTCTCAAGGTATGACTGTCATTGAGTGTGTTGAGTGAAGTGGGATGGCGCACACAGTTATGTATCGCTCCGTAATGTAAAATGCGGAAGGATGTGACGTTTCCCAATCGTTACTCTTACACGCAGGTATTGCTTTGGATAGTATTCTGTATGCTGGTTTTGTATTTAATGAATACATATATCTATTTGTAATATGTCGACTCTGTGATGCTGTGGTTTTTTTGTAGCTATCACCCCGTGTTAGGTATGAGAACACATCCGCCACAGAGAACGCTGAGAAGATTCTTAGAGAATTCTAAGAAGACGCTAAGAAGCTTTTTTCATCACCGTTGAGGTGTCTGCGGTCCCTACATTCAAGCCCATTTACGCTCGGCATCCTTATCTGCTGGTGGTGAGGCAGTTTCCGATGAAATAGATATCTTAATGGGTTGAGTGTTTTGCGATGAACATAGCAAGTATGTGGAGAATCTTTTATTGAACATATGAAATTAAAGCCAATCAGCTTCCGCTGTAAACACCTTGCGGCGCTGAAGTAGGCTGGCCACAGCTCCCGAAGCGTTGCCAAACTGCTCGGTGTTGCCGTAAAAACTGTTAACAGTGTAATTAAAATATGAAAAGTATATTTCCTTTAACCCGCGCCTCGTTGGGGTCTGCCGAGCAACGGGGAGGGGGGGGGCAATTTGGCCCCCCTAAGATCTCGAGAACCACGCAACATAGCGACAAGAAGCAAACAGCGTTGGATAGCCCCAACAGCGAACTACCTTGTGGCCAAATTTCATTGACCAAGGTCAAACCGATGACGTCACAGATCAGTTCAAATGTCGAATTTTCACCGTTTACAGGCATTTCAAGAAATGCGTTGTAAAATCGAGTAAAATGCATTTCATTAAAAATCATCGATGGGGTATTGTTCGTCAAACACATATTTTGCTATTTGAGGTCACTGATACCAGGCCAGGTCACAGAGGTCAGGTCACTGAGAGTCACAATATGAGAATATCATGTGACGCATGTTTTATGTTCCATTTTATATGGCAAATGCCAAATTATGTGGGTCAGGCAGCCTTTGGGGGCAGTTTAGATTGTGTCCTGATGAAGGTCAGGTCAAATTAGGTCAAATTTCAAAGTTGATATTTGGCACAAAATGGGTATCGATTCGATGCAGCTTGCCACGGGGAGTTCAATGGCGATCTGTGTTTTTCGCTACGTACCTATAGGTATCTAGAATTGCCATACATTGAGTTAAAAAATTTGACGTCATCAATTTTTGAACAGTTTTTTCGCTATACCTAACTTGGCCAAAAAAAAAGAGGCATCGATGTAAAACTTTGTATGTAGATAGAAGAGCGCAGGGACTATCACATGTATTCCGTTTCTTTCTAAATTAAAAAATGATATTTTTTGCTTTTTTCTAAAAAAAATCAGTTTTCTTATTTTTGGGGGTCATACCTAATCCAAAAATTTGGAAAATCCGAGATAGTTATTTTGTAGCGCCATTTTTCTCTACATGACCTTATAAAGAACATAGAAATTGCTTAGTAACTGTAGCTTTTGTGAGTGTTTCAAGATTTCATTTTTTTCTCATTTTTGCTCGAACATGACCTCAGTTTGACCTCAATAACTCCTGACCTAAGATGACCTAAGATTTGATATTTTGTGTGTAGGTGTCACATTGATGCCTGGGAAGGTACCAAAAATTTGGTGGTCCTGTGCGCCGTCGTTTTCTTGTAATTCAGGAAAAACCACAGGGGTCATACTGCCCCCCACCCCCCCCCCCAACGGGGCGAGGGTTAACCCGTTCAGATGCTCAACACGGTCTCATTTCGCTTATGCAGCAGCCTGGAGCGCTGGCAAGGACCGGATGTTCAGCAAATGTTGTGTGTAGGTAGGTTGATGCCTTGGAAGGTACCGAAAATTTGGTGGTGCTGTGCGCCGTCGTTTTCTTGCAATTCGGGAAAAAACACAGGGGGGTCATACTGCCCCCCCCCCCAACGGGGCGAGGGTCACTCTGACTACAGATTGATCCATCACTCTGACTGGGCCTCTGCTGTGTATGGCTAGTGGCTCCCGGCGCTGTGTAATGTGTATTGTGTAAGGCTTGGACGGCCCGTTGTGCCCACCCCAATCACCACGCGCCTCTGTGGTGTTGTTTTTTCTTCCACCGACATGCCTCGTCTGGGCGTGTCGGGTTCAAAGGGCGCACGCTGTGGTCTGTATATAAGGCCATGTTCCCACCGGTCGGCACTCTCAGTCGCCACCATGAAGCTGCTGCTGATCGCCTGCGTGTGCGCCCTGGCCGCGGCCGAGCAGCCGCAGCAGACCGTTCCGACGGCCGCTCAGCTGACGGTCGGCCTGACGCACCTGTACCGGCGCTTCCTGCACGCCGTCGCCCCCCGGCAGCTCGAGCTGCAGGATGCGCTCGACATCCAGTGGCGTAACGGCATGATGGCCGGCCCGCCGTTCCGCTCCCCGGTGAGTCAGCGGCCGACGTCGCCGGATAGGCGGCGGAAGCACGTGAACCGAGCCGCATGTAGCTCATTAGAATTGACTTTTTTTGTGATATAGCATAACGTAAACGGGCTGCAATAGCACCCATACCTATTTTCAGTAAATTACAAACAATCCCTGACAGAGCTGCATTCATTATCGTCGTAGAGGTTCCTTAGCTTCCTTAGAAACAAAGCATGTAGAAATGGCTATCAGCCAAGGTCTAAGACATCTCATGACGGATACCTGACACATGTTTCCCATGACTTTGTTGGCGTACTTTCTAACCCTTTACCGTCTGTTGTACGACAGGTCCAGGCTACCTTTGGCGGTGTTGAGGCGCCGACCTTCTCCTTCGTGAACAGCATGATCACCCCCGGCCAGAAGGGCTTCTTCGGCAAGTGGAGCAAGCACGACACCTCGGATCTGCTCATGACCTACAACCGCGGCAGCCTGACCAAGGTGAGAAGCGTGATCACTCAGTGTCTCCTGGGCTTTGGATAGCCAGATTGTTTGACAACGAAACCCATTTGCTGTTTGTTTATGACTGTTACGATGTAACGATGGTTATGCAGATGACCCCCGTTAATATCCTTTTTCAATCGTAATGGAAAGGACGTCTGAGCCTCCGTTGATGGGTCTTTGAAATTTCAATATCACTAAACAATGAGACCGCCTACCAGTCCACGGGTGCTGGCCACAATTGCGTGTGACACCGTTTCTGTGTGCGTGTGATTTCAGATCCACATGCTGACCGACGGCGGCATCCACAAGGAGGTGGTGCTTGGCAACCCTCTGCACAAGCACGGCGCCAAGTTTGCCGTCATGATCCCCAAGGGCACCTACTGCATCTTCGAGTCGCTCTCTGAGGACGATGCCGCCTTCGTCACCTACGTCGCTATCCCCGGTAGGCAGAATGCATCGACACAATCCCACCTGAGGCTCTTTGAGATTCTGTGGTACTGAACAAACCGTTTTCGAGATCACATTTTCACAGTTGTTGTACAACCGGTCCATATTTTGTGCATCGTAATGCTCGAGTAAATTCACTGTGCGTAGACCTACCGGACTCTGTGTGGGTGGCTATTACATTTTGTAATCGTTTTGTGGTCAATTTTCGAAACTGACTTGTGTAACCGACTTGACTCTCATTGTGGTTGGGTCTGGTGATGATCCTTTGCCCAGGTTCTGACCCATTCGCCCTCACCCTTCGATAGCCTGGAACCCGGCCAACTCGCACAACTACTCCCAGAAGGAGATGGAGGCCAAGTTCCCCGACTTCAGCAACATGTTCCACGAGCTCTCCAAGCCTGGCGTGCACGAGCACGAGCACGGCGACGAGGATTACGATCACGAGCACGACGAGCACGACCACGACGACCACGACGAGCACGACCACGGCCCCCAGCGCCGCCGCCTCCGCCGCTTCCGCGGCCGTGGCCGCCGCTTCGGCGGACGCCACTAAACGCCCGCTGCCGAGACTCTGAGGCAGCACGGTCATCGACCGACGCAGGGCACTGGCGGACGGAACGAAGCCATGCTCAAAGCAAGTCACTTTGAAGTTGTTTTACAATATGACGCGATGTACATCCCATCATCGTTCCTTGTGCAATACAATTATAATTGTTTGACCACGAACTGTGTTTGACCTGCCTTTGTTTTCAACGACGCAAATCTTAGAAAATTACTTTTAATTATTCTGCCTACCTCGAACTTTCAACCGATAGCATAGGTACTATTTAGTAAGAAAAAAGCACGGAGAAACTACATATCAGTACATATCAGAGAAACTGTTGTTTGTTTGAGACTCATGAGAGGGTGTTTTTGTTTGAGAGGGTTTTGAACACTATTCGTCCAAAATAGGCGCATTTCAATTTTCTCCCTTTGACTTATAATGGAGAGGTTGCGAAATTGACCAGACCTTAGGTCACCGATATCAAAATTCCGAGATACACATTTTGTACATACTTTTACTCTTATCATCGCTGAAAGTTTTAAGGCGATCGTTCAGTCGGTGTAGCTATGACGAGGATTGCAACTTTTTCTGAGGTGAGGTCACTTGACGTGACCCTGTGACCTGACCTTGAGAGCCCTGGGTCTGAAATTCTTACAACGCATGTAGAAAAGATGCATGAAGAGGTGTGCTAAAAAAGCCGCGCTCCGCGCCGCCGTTTTTGAGATATCCTCTTGGTTCTTTTTGTATACTGGGGTATACATCGTCCTAAGTCGATCTATACGGAATTCACTAATGGCTAGGCTATTTCGTGGCCATGCGTTGCAGTGCCATGGTCCGCCACCTGGTGGCTGAATTTATATCCTCAAGTTGAATTTGTTGACGCCTCCAGCGCTTCAATCTTCCCGGTATCTCGGCGGTCGCAGCATAGAGGTACGTCTCCTAATTATTTTCCTGTTATTTCTTTTTAAGAGTATGACTCATCGAAAACTGTTGTTTTGCTAACATAACCATTCGTCGTTGATCATTGCTTGCAGGTTTTGTAAACAACATTGTGTGTTTGGAACTTTTCCAGAAAGAATTAAAGTTCATGTATAGGTACTAAGGTATACAAATGTCCTTGGCCCGAAAAATTTTGAGACGTGCTTAAAGGAAATAGTTCACATTTTAACATGGGTTTTGAACTGGAATAGCAGTTCCGTAGCTTGGGCTGAGACGAGCATAAATCAGGAGCTTTTACAGCCCAACGATCACCCTAGGCAAAGATATTCTATTTCTCGTCCCGAAAAATGTGCCTTGCGTTGAGGATGTGTGCCTTGCATATATTCGCATCCAGTATGAAACGAGCATGGGTCCCGAAAATTCTTCAGAAACTAGAGAAATTATCTACGAGAACTCTTGAGAAATTCGCTCCAGTGAGGCGCTCCAGTAACAAAAGCACGAGCAGATCGCCCAAATGCCGGTGGCCGCGATTTCTCTAGTTTCTGAAGAATTTTCGGGACCCATGCTCTTTTCATACTGGATCGCTTGTGCCTTACAGAAACTGAAAAGTTCTTCCTATATCAAAAATATAGAAAATAATATTTTGTTATAAAAAGGATTTATTTTCTTTGCTGATCATTTTGAACATAAAAAATCACAAATCCATTGCAAAAAAATAATTTCGTGAAAGTGAACTATTTCCTTTAAGAAGTAGCACTATACTCTGTTTCGTTTCAAGTTTGCAGCCGAAGTGCCCTGCTGAAAGCAGTGCGTGATTTCTGTATATACAGCTCTTACATTTTAAGAAGCAAATTCTTAGCGGAGGAGCGATTTGCCGAAGAAATTCCAACTGCAAGCTTGATATGGAACAGACTATACAATTATTCGGAGGAATTGACCTCTGAAAAAAATAAATGTACACCCGAGTGACCAACGGGATCCTGCACGACGGAGAAATGTAAACGTCAGTATACAACGGACTGTGCCTAGGACTAGTCATGTATACTGTAGTATACATGGTTGCTGGGTTAGTTAAAGCCATTTTTTGTGGCTCACAAACAACATTATGCCTTCAAATGGCTCTGTGGTTGAGCGTTAACATTCTTCGAATCGTTGGCGACCTCAATGACCGTAGATCCTCACTCAAAGTTTGATAAATCGCCCGATGAATTAGAATCCGACCCCTAAGCACAATGACATAGGCAAGCACCTCTCTAAAACACACCATACGGCGAATTTTTTTTAGAGATGTCGCTTCAGATAATGCTGCAAGGTCTTCATCTACTGTTTATCGATTCGCAACAGGTGCTACAAGTTCTATATCTTCAAAGGAAATGGCAACTAAAGACCTAAGAGCAGTGGGCAAGGGCAGAAGAAGCTGAAGTTAAGGGCGAGTGGTGTTGATAATTAAACGTGTCAATACTATTAGCCATTTTACGTCCTAAACAAACGAAAAAATACACTTTGGTGTTTGTATGGAAGTTTTCATGGATTGCATTTCAGTCATATTTTATAGGCTTTGAGTATTTTTGTATATCCCAGTATACATGTCACTGCGCATGCGCGATGACCTTCACGGCTGAAATGTCACCAATCTGGTCATTATTGGCACCAAAGCTCTCAGCTAAAAAAGTTTCGTTGCTCTCCATTCATGGGCGAATTGGCGGGACTCAAGAGGATATCTGCGAAAAACCGCAAGAGGGGGGTGTTCAAACACCCCCCCCCCCCGGCCCGGCACGGGTTACAGCACGGCTCCAGACTAAATCAGACGGGTGCGATGTGAGCCAGATGCGCGTTCTATGTCGGGGCCGCCACGGGGGCTGGTCGCACCGGCCGCACAGGGGCGCTCATGGGGTGTCTTCGAGAGGCGTTGGATTACAGGAATGGTTCAGGTTAGGGAGGGACTAGGAGGTCACCTGGGCAGGAGGCGCAGTGTCCGCATAATCTAGGGTGAGCTGTTATTGCGATAGAAATCTTGTGCAAAGAAGTGAGGCGTTGAGACAATGTAGAATGCTGCAGAACCCGTAATCGGATCGATGTCACTCAGCAATATCCTCTGCAGCGTGGAATTGGATTGCAAAAAGGTCTTCCAGGGCTGGCGGCGGATGTTTTGAAAAATGGACCGTTTGCGAATGTGCATATTCAGATTGTTAGCGCTGAAAAACTATACTGTTACAGCGTAAACAGAACTCGTACTGACTCGCGTGGTTGACGGTAGTGATGTCTTTTTTTTCGTGTCAGGGAGATTGCGAGCTCTGCACTTTTCTCATCAGTTAGGTTTCACTGTTCAAGGAGTACCTTAGCGTTCTAACTCGGTGGGCTGTAACGATGACCAGGTCACGACAGGGCAGTATTAAGTGGTCCAAACATTAATACTCAGTACTCACATGTGCTTCGTAGACTGAATCATCTTTTCAAGATATGACTGTTGTGTTGAGTAAAATGGGAATGCGCACACAGTTATGTATCGCTCCGTAATGTAGAATGCGGCAGGATGTAACGTTTCCCAATCGTTACTCTTACACACGCAGGTATTGCTTTGGTTACGGAGCGAGCGAAGCGAGCGTAGTCTTTCCTTAGATTAACGGAAATTTCTGAGTATGAGCGGCCGGCCGGCCGGCCGGCCGTGCGGACGCTTTTGCGAGGCTTATATCTCAGCAACCACTTGACCGATTTACACGCGGTAATTTTTGTAGGGTAGCTTCATTCCTTCTACCAAGTATTGGACTATTCCCGATGCATGTGGGTGACCCCTTATGCACGTGCCACGTGCAAAACGAAGAGGTGTCAGTTTTGTAATTGTTGCAATATCTCGGTAACTACTTGGCCGACTGCGCTGAAAGTTGGCATGTAGGTAGGCACCCACCAGGCACTGCATATCCATGTGCCAGAGTTGGGGTGCTGCTGCACGTGCGCACGTGCAGGGGTCGTTTCCAGATCTCGAGAACGGGTGGACCGATGACGCTCAAATTTGGTACACGGTTAGGGACCAGTCAGTAGGGTGCCGTGCACAAGTCAGTTGGGACCCATTTTGCACGTGCGCACGTGCAGGGTGCCGCTTCCAGATCTCGAGAACGGCTGGGCCGATTATGCTCAAATTTGGCACATCGCTAGAGACCGGTTAGTAGGGTGCCGTGCACAAGTCAGTTGGAGGTACTCCCTCGCAATTTCGCACGTGCAAGGCCCACCCTCTCGCTCGCTCCGTTAGTCGCCCCAAAAGGCGTTATACTGGTATAGTATTCTGTATGCTGGTTTTGTATTTAATGAATACATATACATATCTATTTGTAATATGTCGACTCTGTGATGCTGTAGTTTCTTTGTAAATATCACCCCGTGTTAGGTATGAGAACACATCCGCCACAGAGAACGATCAGAAGCTTCTTAGAGAATTATTGAGGACCCTAAGAAGCCAATGTCATCACCGTTGAGGTGTCTGCGGTCTCTACATTCAAGCCACATTCACGCTAGGCTATTCCTATCTGCTGGTGGGATGGAGAGAGGCAGTTTCCGATGAAATTGATATGTTAATGGGTCGGTATATAGGGCCTTGAATGGGTCAGTGCTTTTGCGATGAACATAGGAAGTGTGTGGAGAATCTTTTATTGAACATATAAAATTAAAGCCAATCAGCTTCCGTGTAATATCTAGCCTCTACCGAAGATGGAAATTAGCTGTCCTTATATGAAAATATTTTTAGAGGAGCATAAATACAGGGTGGGGCAGAAATATTTACCTGTTTGTTTTCAGTTCATATACCTAACTCAAAAAGTTATGAACGGATTTTGATAAAATTTTGCATGCGGCTTCCCAACTGACTCGTGTATCAACATTGAAATCGTTTTTACATTTTGTTACGAGCGAGCGAGCGCAGCGAGCGAAGCGAAGTCTTTTCAATATAACGGAAAAATCTCGGTATGAGCGTCCCGGCCCGGCCTGTAACTCTTTTGAGAGGCTTATATCTAAGCAACCGCTGGACCGATTGGCCTGCGGTCTTTTTTCTGGGTAGCCCCATCCCTTCTACCCCGTAATTGACTACTTTTGACACATCTCAGTGACCGTCGTGGCACGTGAAAGGTCAAGGGTGTTCAAACTGTTTTGCAAAAGTAGTGAATTTGGGAGGCTCATATCTCAGCAGCCGCTTGGGCGATTGTCTTGCGGTAATTTGTGTAGGGTAGCTGCATCCCTTCTACCAAAGGTCGGA